AGCATAAAGTGGTCAATATTAATGTTATATAGTAATGTATATCATAGCATAAAGATGTTCTAAAATGTTACAGTTAATAGAAATTGATAATGTGAATTAACCAATTTCAGAATTCTTTTGAATTCCTTTAGCTAAAACTCTAGAATTTTGTAGGTTAAATTATACATATCACAAGTCAACAATGTTGTCTGATCTTTTATTGAGGATGTGGGGAAGAAAGCAACTTGTTTAGAAAATCATTACAAAAAGAATCTTCAAAGATATTCAAAGGATTTTTAGCAAGTTAGTCTAGTGGCCTAAATTTTATTACATTATTTTATTACATCCTTGACACGATGTTGCATTTTGGAACACATTATGTTAATCTAGGAAATAAGAAGGGTTTTGTGTGATGTACCATTATGGCATTTTCAGAACTCCCTAAATAGGAATGTATTATATGAACTTAAAAACTGCATAAACACTTATTTACAAAATGAACTTTAATGGCATTGAAAGAGCCATATCTTTCTATGGTGGTAGTATATTTCTATAGATTTCTGCTATCGTTCATAGTTCATAGTTTAGGCTGACTTTCTTTTCTCCGTATTTTTCATTGTACTTAAAGTATTCAAGGATTCTCAGATCAGTTTGAGACTTCTTACCTGATGTTTGAAGATGTTTTCAGAAAATAGAGTGCAGTCCAGAGTTAACTTGAATCTTGCATTTCCCAGGTCTTGTCAATTTATTGTCGTGCTTAAATATTGTTCTTGTGTGTTCATTAAAATTTGACAATATATAATTTGTTCTGTTTCTAGTGTGAGTACTTGTATCTTTTTATAAATACAGGATGGAATAAATATAATTGCCATTCCTCATTCTGTTTTTATGTTCAATATGTTTCTGAAGGAGCTGAGCACTAAAATAAGCTTCCATTTATCAGAATACCTTTTCAACAGAAAAAGCTTTTTGTCACAGTATGCGCAGATAATATATTGTGAAAGCCTGCCACGTCCATGGATCAGTCATCAGTGCATATTTATATAATATATGACTGGTGCTGATGAAATGTAGATAGTCCAGTTAGTTGAATTCATAAGGTGTAGCTATGGGTATCCATTTTTACTGTCCTAAAAGAGAAGTTTGTATATAATGCCTTGATAAATGTCAGTTTTTGTGACCTCTGAAACTTTCTATATAGCTAGGTTTAAATGAATAATACAATTTATAATTTCACATACAACATGCACATTTGGAGATTTGTTCCTTATTTAGTGGAAGCATCTTTAAAATAGGCTTTTATATTTTGTTTCACTGGCATGTTTCATCTGTTTATATCTATGTTTAGTATGTATGATGAAAATATAAAAATATCAAACCTGTTAATAGGAAGAAACCTAGTTGAAAATATGCAAATTGGGTATTTTTGATGCTTTAATTGATATTTATAGAGTGAAGATTTTCTTCTACTATCAAAGCAAAATCAGTAACTCGGACCTTTTAGGATATAGTAATGCCTTTATATTTGGAATTTTTAAAATTAGTAAATGAAAAGACATTGAATAATCTGATACTCAGTAAATTTATTGCACTTTTAAAATGATCTTTTATAATAGTATCAATTAAATTTGGTAAGAATCACTTCACATTTGAAAGCAAAAGTACTTCTTAAACTTGACTCATTAGGAAAATCCAATCTGTTCTGGGCTGCACAAGCTCTGGAAGGCCAAGAACACTGGCTCTGCATAAGTACAGCAACAGACTGAAGAAAGTTTAACAGTCTTTCCTCACCCCCTCACCCTTCCCCCAAATCCTAAAGCCATTCACACTGGAGAGATGCGGGACAGCTCAGGGTGTGGGAAGGGAGGAAAGTGGAGCTCGAGACCTGTGCTATGCAATTCCCTTGTCCTGTTTCCTTCCCGGAATTATTACAACTCTAGAATTGAAGTGGAAAGTCTGCATACAGGTTGGAGAGAGACAAGACCTCCACTATGTGGACCATTTAAAAATTGAATCTGGAGTGGGAGTTTTGGAAGAGCTTTCCTACTCCTGAAAGCTTTCTACCCCTGAAGTTCGCTTCTCCTCCTGTCTCCAATTCAATCACTCCAGAATGCCACATGCTTAGGAGAATTTGGGGAAGCCTTCAGCAGAATAGATTTCTCTTATATGTGCTTGACAAAGCTGTCTGCAAGGGAGACTTTTTGGGGCTGTATGGTCCTTTTAGCAATATTTCTTAGCTCCCTGAGAATGTCTGCCAGGGAAGAACTATTTTGATTCTTCCCAGATGTCATTCCCATCAGCTTGATAGCCCAAAGAGCCAATTTTAGGCAGCCACATCAAACTTAAAACCTCATTATGCAGCTGCTGCAAAAGAACACCTTCTAACTAGGGAGCAAATTCCATCACTTTGTGATTAGAGGTTTGCAGAGTTGCAATGGGCCAATAGCCACATTGGCTAGATAAGGACTCTAAGCATTAAATGTGTTTAAAGAGGTTGAGCTAGGTGACCTAATGCATCTTATCCTAACTTGAAAGTGTATTAAATATGTTTCCTTTATTATCAACATTTTAATTAAAGTTTGTATTTTGCTTCTTGTAGATGTAATCTGATCTCAATAATCTTTTTTTTTCTTGCTTTGCTTTGCTTTTAAATTCTGTTCGTAATAACATAGAGTAAAACTTATGATTAGGTCATTAACCAGAAAAAAACCTGGCATTCATCTGCAGGTGATCAGATGACATAAGATGCCTGGTTTTAATTTGTGGGTAGCTCTGATTGTAACTAAAAGAGACTTGCTCTTTTTGTGGAATTGGCTGACTATTTCCCCACATCTGGAGTTAATGAAGTCTTTGAGACCACATCAGTTGTGTTTTGCCGCCAGAGCCCTTTGATCTGAAAAATCTAGACTGGCACAAGTGCAGCTTCATAATATTGAAGCTATGTTTCTGCAAGCTATAGTTAGAATACCAAAAACAAATAGAAACTATATAAATGTATGTGCCTGCCCTAGAACTTTCATGTAGCTATTTGAAAGGGACTCTTTGACATTGGTATATTTTATAACATTTTTATTATGCTAATGTCATGTACATGTGTAACCATAAATGATGCATTTGTTGGAGCTGAACTTTTTCAGCTTAATTTCCCTTCTGAGGTGCTTGCTTGTTTAGACAGTCTTATGAAATGTCAAAATTATTAGAAGCGATTGAAATTTCAGTCTGTGGCCCACACTACAAATCTTGTTTATAGCATTACTCTGGCAAAGTTGAAAAGACGTATAATTTGTCATTGTGGATTTTTTCACATTAATCAATGCACATCTCCATGTCAATGCTGATGTCATAAAGCTTTGTTTCCTCTGCTATCCTGTGACAGTGATAGATTATTCATCAGCTACAGCATATGCTGCATTATTTTGCACAACAGACAACTTGTAAATTAAAGCCAGTTTTACCTAATATGTTCGTAGCTTTGTGATTGTGAGCATTTAAAATTTGACAGTCTTGTCACTTTTGTTTTGAGTATGTGTGAAGTGTGTGTTGATATGTAGATTTATGTACCATAAATACATTCATGCTCTTAACACAGTTTATAACATTTTGTCATGCATTTTCCCTTGTAAAATTTCTTTATTTCCAGGCATTAAAAATTTGGAAGTAAAAAAAAAAGCCATCAATTTGAACAATAGCTATCTTTGGAAGCACTATCTTTGTACCCAAAATAATAAAAACATACAAACAAAAGTGTCCTCTTGAGTTTGATTGCAAAACATGAATGCAAAAGCAGAGAGAGAGATGTGAAAAGTGGTGAAATGTATCCACTGTACTTCCCATACTTTGAGACTCAGTTCTAGATAGAGAAGATGCCATTGTTTACCAGTGTTTCATACACTCATACACCTCAGCTCTTTTTATTAGAGATGCATCAGTGTTAAATTTGTGTAAAGTAATGGTGAATCAGTCACGTTACATAAAATAACTCTCTCCAAACACATGCCAAGCCATTTGATCTGACAACAGCAGAGTTGCAAAGCATTCTGGGTATTTGTATGCAAATAAATATAAGATGTGACCTGCTTAACTTTGTAAATTTTCATATCAGAACATTCACCCTTGCAAACTACAATAGAGGTTTCCTAGTCTTTGGTGGTAGTCAAAGACACTTTTTTTTATTCTCTCTCTTCTTCTGTATGGGTACTCAGCCTGTTACAATGATAGGGGAGTGACCTATCTGTATGTATGTGTGCATAGGCATATATATGCACACACAAAAAATATGCACTTAACAATTTTGGCTTACTTTTTATGCACTTAAGTTTAGACTTTTATTTGAAGCCTATACATCAATTAGTTTCTTTTAGGAGATGAGGAGAAGCAAAACTGAGTATTTTTAAATAACCTTTTTATTTTAACATACTGTGTGACATAGGCTTACCAAAAGATATTGGCACTCCACTGCCAAATAAAAACAAGATTTTTAAAAGCTGTGCCAGATTGCCAAGGTTATTTGATATTGAAGTTTTAAAATCACCCAACAGGATACAGATTTGCATTACTTCCTCCTTCCTGCTCCCCACCTCCCCTGTAACCCTAAAAAATTAGACAGGTTTCTGATTGAATAGTAACACTAAATTCCCAACTGTTTCACTAGACATGAATGTTTTATCTTAGTTGGGATTCCAGCTAGTTAAATATGCAACCAAGAATAGAGTTATTTTAAAATTGCTAGTTATTTTGGGAACCGCTGTTTTGTTTCTGTGTGAGATGTGTGCTTTATAAGCAGAATCAGCACTTAGGTTTTTATCAGGCCACCTGGTTGAATTGGCTCACCTGAAAGTGTGATGTTAAGCTCACAGTAATACTTTGGCAACTTGCTAAAAACTAAATAATGTCAACAAATGAATTAAATATTGGAAGTTGCTAGTAGTGTTCTCTTTAATGTAAGTCTCTGTATTAGCACGTTGTTATGTTTGACAGCCAAATATTACATCCAGGCTTTTTGATGTTTTTCCATTTTTTAGGTATATGCACCATCTCCAAGTTCTGATGATTTCAATAGAGAATCTCCAACTTACCCATCTCCTAAACCACCAAGCAGTATGTTTGCCAGCACTTTCTTTATGCAAGGTAAGTAAAGTACCTCTAAATACAGTAATCTTTGTAATTAGTTCTTTTGGCAGAAATGGCAGAAATTTGTTGCATCGAATAATGTAATAAATACATTTCTAGAGAAGCTAAGGAATTGTGCTGGGTCCTAGAGTTGAATTTTGTATACATCTACAAAATGTTGGATGAAAGAAGCTGTTCTTTGATTTAAAGGTTTGTTTGTGACATTAATTGCTGACTGCAATTTAAAGGGATTATCCAGCAGGCCAGATGGACAGAATTCCCCATTCTTTGATTTGTAGAGGTTTCAGAACAACGCACCAGAACGATAGTGATAAACGACGTGTGGGCTTCTTGGTCATTCTGGAGTTTGGTTGTACAATATCTGTTAATCTGGGTTCTCAGTGAATGCTCATGTCTTCACTATGCCAGAAATACAGATGACTTTGGATTGCACAAAAACAGGGACCAGAATTCATGAGATTGGGACCACATTTCCTCAGTTTAGCTCTTTGTTGGTGAGATGAGGTATTGAGATGAGATACTGTAAATATCGTAAGTGCTGAAGTGTACAATGTCAATGCAGTCTTTATTGCTGAAGGAAAACAGTGCTGACACACTTGGGTTTCAGGCTTATATAATGTAGCAATTATCAGTTATTCAAGTCTGCTATTATGGAACCTTTTTATTGTATAGTGTTAGAATGTTTTAGCCAATATAAATTGCCTATTATGGATTGAGAAATCTTTTCCCACTGTATATTTATGGGGAGCATTACTTAGCCAAGCATCAAGGTTGTTGTTTTTTTTAAAGTCTGGAATTTTTATTGTCTCTTGATGTAAATCTGGCCTTACTGAAGGTCTTTGTAATTAGCAGAGTACTTGGTATTTTCTCAGCTGTCATTGGATTGTATTTCAGCTATAAAGCCTCATTTTTTTAAATATAGCAACACAGCGTGGTAGCAGAATGGGAGACTCTGTATTAACTATTCCCTATTTCAGTACTGATATTCAATTGAGTTGGTGAATTATGTACTTTTAAGCAATGTAAAGGAAAGAAAAACTCATTACACTTCTCATATTAGAGAGATCTTTTCTTTTGTTAAAAAAATAGATGGTACCCACAACTCTTCTGACCTTTGGAATTCATCCAATGGAATGAGCCAGCCTGGTTATGGTGGAATGCTGGGAGGCTCTTCTTCTCACATGTCACAGTCTAGCAGTTATGGCAGTCTACACACACATGACCGCTTGGTAAGTTACAAAGGCTAATACAGTAGCATATGTAAATACATTTCTGGAGACGGATCTGTTTAATTTCCCATCTGATCTTCTAGTACTGTGAATTCAAAATTAGATTTGTCAGAAATCAAAACCTTGATTTTGTTGCATCTTTTTTATGTACTGTATAATTTTACCATGATTTTTGGTAGTGGAATGGCTTGTTTGGCTGATGGACAGCTAGTCCCTTTCTTAGGTGACGGTGTCATACCAAGATATATAAATGTATTTAAAGATTCTGCTTAATTGGATCTTATTTGGTTTGCTTTTTTCTAGAGCTATCCCCCACATTCAGTCTCACCTACAGATATAAATGCCAGTCTTCCTCCAATGTCCAGCTTCCATCGCGGCAGTACCAGTAGTTCACCTTATGTTGCTGCCTCACATACTCCACCCATCAATGGATCAGATAATATACTGGGTAAGATGCTCTTAGGATTAAATAAGAATTATTGAGGTACAATTTGAAGTTATTTAGATAAAAGGTACCTTTTAATTTTTTAATTTTTTTTTTTTAGCTCTATATCTCGTACTAAGACGTAGAGTTGGTCTGAATGCAAATTAGTGCTTTGGTTAACTAAAGGAGGGATATTTTTAAAACCAACTTAGTTGACTCAGTGCAACCATCCCATAACTCCAATGTAGACCTTTAAGCTGGTTTGTATTAAATTTGTTTAGCTTAAGTTGGCTTCTAATATATTTAACTGATTTTAGACGCACTGAAACATTGCACCCATTTAATGCCAGTGGCCAGTGGTCTCTCAGCCTTTGTGATCTCAGAGTCTAAATAGTATGTAAATAACTACTGGTTTGTGATAGAGATGCCATTGCTATATTAATGGAGCGTTGTGGTGACTTTAAGCATTTTGTCTTTGAAGAGGGCCTGCTACAAAAATTGTTCATAGTGTATTATGTATCCTCTCCCTCTATGTTGCTTCAGATCACTAGCCAGGGCCAAAGGAAGAAGGTCACTGGGATTAAACTCTCTTTAATCCCTTCACCGTTTATCCACAGACTAGAAATGTGGACTCTTGGCTTCCCCTAACACCGTTTGGTAGCAGAGGGCCATGTAATCATCTCATCCCCAATTAGACACCCAGATAGGAAGCAATTGTAGGGCCCTAATGTTTTAAGAATACAATACATATTTTTTTCTCTTTTCATGGATATTTGTGGATAATGATGTATCTCATAACATCACTTATTAATACAATGGTTTACATTCTTAAGATTGCAGAGGAGCTTTTCAGTTTTCTATGGGTTCACAATCAGCTTTGCGTTCAGTCTTGGTGTAAATAGAAATTAGTCTAACTGATTATATTCACCCTGATTTGGGAGCATATCATAGACCTGGATCCTTAAATGAATCTAGTTTATAAAGCTTTCTGTGACTCCAGTGTGAGATTTGAAGTTTATTATAAAACGTAAAATCAGGTGATTGATGCATGATTTGGATTTCATGATGAACATTTTGCACAGCTTTGTATGAAAGTGCATTTTTTGCTGGCAGAACCTGATGTGTGCAGAATTTATCTGCACTCTTGACTAGACACATGCAAATAAATATTTATATTTTGAAACAAAAAATTCCTTATCTGTGTTTATAATTGGTTGAGCTTGTGAGGAGGCCTTATGCTCAACTTGATGGCCTTTGGAATGAGGGAGTGCATGGAGACTTTGGCATGTGCCACAGGTGGGAATGGGAAGACATGAGTCCATAGTATGCAGGGTGAAGTGGCAGAGAATTCTTGAAATAGAAAGTTTGGGAAGGTGATAAACAGGAATCTTGTTGGAGAGAATAGAGGAATTGACCTGCCTACAGAAGCTATTAAATTTGTGACCCTTTCTTGTTACTTTATATTACTAACATTAATTTAAAAATATTTTTCAGTCTGCTTTCCTTTGTGTTTCACTCAGCCTGGATAATGAAACTAGGCAACGCGGTTTCACTCTTGTCCCTGACTAGCTTTGATTTCTCATCCTTGTGATGTTGTGTTCGAGCTGCAAATGGTGCAGGGAAATGAGATTACTGAAATCTAAACACAAGACTGTGTTCACTCACATTGTTTTAATATAATGAAAACATGTTCTATTGACATGAGGTTAATCATGAAATCCTGACAGTGTCCCATTAAAGCTGTGATAGTGTGTCCAACTGTATTTGCTAAAATGTAAAGAAACTTAGTTCTTTGGCCTGAAAATAAATGTTGTGTTTATTTTCCCATTCCAGGAAACAGAGGAAATGGGACTGGAAGCTCACAGACGGGTGATGCACTTGGAAAGGCATTGGCATCTGTAAGTAATGATTATAAACGTAGTCTTCAGACTAATTTGGACCACATCTTGTTTAAAATGGCCATCATGGTTTCCTTTATTCATAGTTACCTTTTTGTTACTTATGAATATCTACAGTTCAATATGTCCAAAATACAGTAACCTAATGTGTTAGCATAGCACTCCATGATACACTAGTGTACATTATGTCCATGTGAAAGAAAATGGAAATTATCACTTTTATTTGTGGAATATGCCCATCAGAATTTTTGCTAGGCATTTGCATATTCTGTGAAAGATTAGAGTATCAAGGATAAACACTTATTGGAAAGTTGTGTGTACAAAGCAAAATTTACAGATGCTGGCTACTTGGTCTAATTATAAAGCAATTATTTTTCTGTGAGATGTACATACAACTCTGGTTCAAGTCAATGAAATTTATCTGAGGGCAAAATTAGGCACAAGGTTCAAAGTGCATGCTCAGTGGGAACTGTAGGAGAAAAAAAATTTTACTTAGTAAATGAAATGTCAAGTTATATGTGCTCTAAGTTATTCAACAGTAATTTATGGGGCATTTTAAAATGGGGATTTGTATTGCATATCTGAAAGGCAAAATCTGTGCAAGCCAATTATTAAGCTAGTTTCAATCACTGGAAGATGGCATTGCAAATAATAAAATAAAATGAAGTCCTGAAGTGAAACATTGTAAGTTCCAAGTCTATTGAAATTGTTTAAGTTTTTGTAGTTGTTGTTGTTGTTGTTGTTATTGTTATTATTATTATTATTATTATTATTATTATTATTATTATTATTATTATTATTATTATATGATGCAGAAAAACAGTTTGTATTAATAGTATGAAAGGAACATTTATTTTTAATAGAATGGTTTCTGGTACAGAACATTTTGAAAATGTTTATATTTAGTGTCTGACAATGTTCTGTATAGACAAAATTCCATATCTGTGGATGATAGCTGGAAAAGCTCTACAGATTTCTGTTGCTTAACACACTGGAAGTCTAATCCTGATTGAAGAGATAAAAATTACTCCTTTGCAGTTGCAAGAGACCATTTTTGGGCTGCTTTGTTTTCCCCATCTCAGCCCACTTCATGCAAATATGCAAACTCCTGCAGATTATTTTAATGTTGCTTTTCTCTGATTGTCATATGTTAGAGAATGACCAGCTCTGATAATGTCAGATGGACTCTACTGATGTCCATAGCAAGTAGTGGATTTCTCTAAAACTGATGTGCTTTGGAGAGAAGAATATTATCTTGTTGCTTCTTTGGATCAGAGAGCAGAGGGTAGAACTCTGTTTGTCATCTTTAAATGTCCATCTAGTAAAGAATTTGGGCCTTTTTTGGCTCTGCTGAATCTGAATGAAAAGCTTCTTGGAAATAACAGTTCCTACACGCATCCTGCTGTGTATATTATTGTGCAGCTCTGCTAGGGCGTATATGGTTCCACAGTCTGGCCAAATTTTGTGTCAAAATCTCGGCCTTGTGGTCCAGCCCAGACCTGTGTGACCTTGTGAAGTTTTTACTTGCTCTCCATGTTTTTCTTTTGAACAGATCCACAGATATTTTTTCTTTCTGTGACTAGCTGAGAAAACTAAACTTATGTTTGGAGAAAATTCCAAATTTACTGAGAGTGGAAGTCAGGTCAGGAATGTTTAATCTAACTGGTGGGTGGGCTTTGGTTGTCATAGTAACTTAGTTCTGTCATCCTATGTTGTTGCTTAGCAGGAGCAGCCAGGTCATTCCATAAATCATTTCTGTCATAGCCGATGGTGATGCATTCCATCTGCTCTATCAGTGCATGCCATAGTCTGCACACTTCAAATCCCTTGCTTCATCCCATCTGCTTCTTTTACCACCAGTACACACACAGAGCACACTTTTCACAACTGTTCAGTAAGTAATATAGCAAAATCCTTTTTGAGAAAGGGAATAATAATGTTTGAAATGAAAATGATGTGTTTACATTTCAGAGGCTAATGCACTTTGTGAAAGTGTATCTGAGTTAGCAAAGACTTTTTTAAAATACTTAAATCCTATTGATTTTTTTTAAAGCCAATATCTGTCTTTTTAGATATTAAACACCACCACTAGTATTATTAGGAAGAATTTCTAGTTTTAAGATTCTGTTGAGGTACATCTTACAAAGGCCTTTCATGTGTGAAACATCAGAGGCTATAACATTTCTTCCTCCGTTTAGGTATTAAAGACCATACAGAATACTGAGTGATTAAACATGTAAGGCCAGATAATACATTTGCAAAGGTTCTTTTATTTTAGGTTTAAGCCTGGATAATTGTGGTCTTAATCTCAGGGTAGGCAAGAAAGAGAATTGTTCATGAAAGTATTTACACAAAGTTCCCAAAGCCCTGTGGATTATGCATTAGTTTGGATAATGAACTAGTGTAGATAGGAAGAAAAGAAAATCTGGGCATTTGTGCCATTTCTGATGTGTTTCCCTGAACATTTGCCAAACAATAACCCTTTAAGAGTTTGCCCATGGAGGGTTATATGGAGGGAGAAACATCTGGTTTATTTCAGTGCCTAATACCAAATCAAAACACTTGGTCTTTAATTTAGAGGAGATCAAACAGGAGGGCTGTTTAACTTTGTTGATTATATCAGACCTCTTTGTGATAACTTATGTTTTGATTCCTACTTCAGTACTAGGGTACAGGCCTTCATGTGATCTGGATAGTTAAATGGCAAGTGGTCTCCTAACTAAAGAAAAGAAAAGAAAATGTAGGGAAGTTGACTTTTAAAAGTAATTCATGAATTAAGTTTCTTTGTTGCTTTAGACTCAATAACATTAACATAACAAAGCTTAACTGAAATGTACACTGTAGTGTTTAAAAAATTGGACTAACAGCTCTGAGGTTTGGCGCTGTGGGCTCTCAATTGTGCAGCTTTTGTCTAAGACTCCTTTCATTAGATACTGGCATATTGGCACCCTGCTGATTGGAATGGACCATGACTGATAGGAGGAGGAGTTTCATTTGTTGCAGTAAAACGAGTCATGTTACCATTTAAGCCTGGCAGAAGGTGTCAGAGATGTTCATCGTTGGTCATTTAATAATATAGCAGCCATGGGTTGCATGCAGAATGAGTTCTAATTTATATTTAACCTGCGGCTTTTAACAGTTTTTTTCTTTTAAGAATGATATTTTAAAAAGATTGCTACGTAGACAGCTGAAAAAGTGGCTATGCTGGAAGAAGGCCAGGAGTCACTAGATGCAGTTTAATTAGGCTGCAACTTTATTCCTAAATGTCTGGGCGTATCTGGCAGATAAAAATGTGCAGTACAGGTAATTCCATGATCCATGTACGTTCAGTACACCCACTGGGGGAAGTTGATGTCAGCCCTCCCACTTTACCCATACTGGTCCCTGGCCAACTCACTGCTGGGATTTTATCAAATTGTGTCCCCTTCTGAATAAAGGCTGGGAGAAGTGGGGGCTATAAAGACAGGTTTGGATCCGGCCATACCAGTGATAGGAGTTCCAATCTGGCCCCATTTCCACTTCTTTAATACCTCTTTTTAAATCCTTTACTGATCCATTTCATCTGATCCTTATGTCCCTTCCCTGTAGAGTACTTGATCTGGGCAACCTTCTCAGGCCTACAAAATAAATTGCTATATGACATTCTAGCCCCCATTTCACATTCACTCTGACAAAGTCTCCAACTGCTGTAGGAAAGGCAAAAAGCCCCCATGTCACTTTGGCCAATCTGATGCGGAAGGAAAAATCCTTTCCTTCCCCACAAGTTGGGAGTGACTAGAGTAAATCACAGAGCAGATCATAACAAACCCTGATATTTATCTACTCCCATGGGTGTCAGGTTTGGTGCTTTTTTATGTGGTCCAGATAAAAGAGGGCATTTCCTTCACCAGTATGGACTTAAATAGTCCCCCTCTTCCAGTCTCTCTCTCTCTCTCTCTCTCTCTTTCTCTCTCTCTCAAAGAAACATACACCATTTCCAACAAACCAAACTGTCCCCACCATTTAATGCATGATAAGAACAAATTTTCTTTTGGCATGACATGTTTTGTTCAGACATAGAATTTATGTCGTGTATATAGCACCCCTTTCTTTGGAATTTTTTCAGTTTACATAGCAAATTTTGCAAGACACTGTAATCAATACTTAGTTGTAATTTTATACTTAGTAGAAGTTCTTTCATTTAAGTCACTGATCTGTTGAATATTTCCAGGGGAGGGTTTACATATATTTTCCTCTCTAGCTCACGTGGGCAAAATGAGTTGTGTGTGGTATTTTTTGTTTATCAACTTTTATAACTATGAAAGATCAAGAAAGTATATGCAGCGTAGAAAGTCCTGCTTTTGACAGCTCTGGAAATATAATACTAATCCACTGGCTTCCAATTTATTGTCATTTTACCACTGAAATGTGAGATTGTGTTTGTGCAAAGTTATAACTTTAAATGGAATGGACCAGTGAGTAAAGTGGTGAATGCAGTCTGAGACTGCAAAACACCCTTCTAAAGGAAAAAAAATATTCCAGTCATCTGAAGAAGTGGGCTGCTGTGCCCACAAAAGCTCATGATACCAACATGCTTCATTAGTCTATAAAGTGCTACCATACCATTTGTTGTTTTTTAAGTTTAAAGGATAAAATGTTTTTGTCTCTTCTAGCCCAAGAGTGATAGAGATTTGAACTCATGACCTATTCTATGACTGTATTCCGTATCCCATTACTAGTTCCTGGATCTGTCCAGTTCCTTGTCCAGAATAGATTTTCAAGGAGCTTGCAATTTTAGATATTAATTGGAAATTTAGATTTAATTTGCTGTTTTATCCAAAGTCACCCTGCTGTCTTATTATATAAAGCAGTGGTTTTTCAGATTTGGGTTGGAGGCCCACCGGAGTAAGATGCTGGCAGGCCCGTGAAGCTTTGTTTATCTAAATGTCCATACCCTCGGAGCCTCGCAGCAGCCAAGAGATGGCAAACTGCAGCCAATAGAAGCTATGAGACTCCATAGCTACGGATGCTTAGATAAACAGAGTGTTGCGGGTCCATGATTCAACTTTGTAAACCACTGATACAAAGCATAGAAAAAGATTTACAGTGTTGCCAAGTTAGTAATAGTTTTAAATATTATGTGTACTTGTTGGAAGCTATTTGTCTATCAATCAAAGAGAATCTTTATGTGCAAATTAATATTAATAACAGCATAATTTGATTATTTTATTTTGGTAGGTGACACTGGTAATTAGAGTTCAGTCCTGTATCTGTAGACTTGTTAACTTGACTTCCACAATTCTTCTTGAATTTAATACTAAAGTTCCTGGAGTTTGTAAAAAGCATATTTGGCGCTGTTTTTTTATAACTACTTAAAAACAAAATCTCTGTGGACTCTGTGGCTATTTTAATACCTTCCAAGTATTAAAACAGCTATGATTTAATGAACCAGTCTTTTAACCAAATTAACCGTGGTTTCAACTGAAAGTATAAAAATGAATCCAAATAAACAGATTTTTATTTTTACGTAAACTGAGATAGGTATTGATAAATGTGTACATCCTTTTGTTGTTAGATTTATTCTCCTGACCATACAAGCAGTAGCTTTCCTTCAAATCCATCAACACCTGTTGGATCACCATCACCTCTCACAGGTAGGATCTACAGCTTGTCAATAATTTACTTGCTATTTTGAAAATGTCTTTGTTGGTTTGACTTCTCGATGAAATCCAGGACAGTTTCCATGCATATCTAATGGCACTATGGCTGTTGACAGTAATCTTTCAGTTTATGATTTGTAGAATGTACTACAGGTTTAACCTCTTTAATCTGGACTTTGCTAGTCAGGCAACATCCCTGGTCCAGCATCTTTGGCAACCAGGGGTTGGAGCACTCATGGTAAATAACCAGCAGGCTAGAGCCAGAAGTGTTGCTGGATTAGAGAAAAACAGAGCCCCAGTGTGGCCCCCCAGCAGGCTCTGTGAGCTGAAGCAATGGAGCCCCAGAGGGGCCTGTGTTGGAGTGGTAGAGTGCTCGGGGAGTTGGGAGCAGAGAGGCAGCAGTGAAGCCTTCTCTCTCAATTCATTGGTCTGGAAAATTGATTAGTTTGGGATTGGTCAGGTCCAAGTGTGCAAAGTTCAACCTGTAGTATTCCACCTTGATTATGACTGGTTTTCATTGCTGTATTTGTTAGTTTCAATTTTAGCTAATAAAAAAGCCCCTCACCTCCAAACCTTAGTTTTGTCTCATTTACATTTTATTTATCTAATCTTAGCAGAATTTGATTTTTTTTTATCTGTTTAAATTTTCAGGTGTGAGAAATTTTGGAGTTGAAGCATTTTTTAGTTTTATCAATTTAAATTTTCACAGTTGTGGGAAATTACAGGGGCAGTCACAGTAGGAATTCAGACAATAATGATTTAATTACAGTAGACATTGAGATTCAGAATGTTAAAATTTTTAAACAGTTAAAATATAAATTGTCAACATCACATGTCAAAAATTCAAATATACATTCTTAGATCAAACTCTGAGAGGTTTTCTAGCAACATTGTTCTTACTTTGCTTGTCTGTAAATTTTGATTATCATCTCCAAATATTGTGTGTGTGGGGGAGGGGGGAGTGATAAAATTGACATTTACAAATGTTGACTGCTAAAAATCTAATCTTCCAAAGCCTAAATTTAACAGATTTGAGGGAAAAACCTTGATGTATTTCTTTCCTTGTTTGTAATTGAAACACTTATTGCTGTTAGGGTTATAATAAGTATAATATCATTTTTGCATAATTATTTTATACTGTCTTTGGCCAATTATTTAAAAAATGCCGTTTTGCTAGGAATTTAGAATAAATCACATAAAAGTAATCTTATTTGCAATTATAGAATGGTAAAACTTGATCTGTATTAAAAAGTCTATTCTTTGTTAAATGTTTTTCTCTACTCTTTGAGAAACAGCACTCAGTGTTTGAGGGTTTTTTGTGGGGAGGTTATGTTTGTTCACATTCACAACAGAATACAAGATAATAGTGGAGTAGTTTTCAAACACAAGTTGTGCATAACCTGTGAAATCATTCAGTTTTGGGGTGAGGACAGGTTTTCATTCATATTTCTCACAAACATTTTCATAATGTGAGGAAACATACTTGCAGTTTTCAAAATATGTACTCAGTGTTGCAGCCAATTCTGTCCCCCACACTTTGTGTGTTAGTAGTGTGAATTTGATAATAAGCATTCTAGTGTGGAGATGAACTATGAGCAGCTGCTTAGAGCTATTAGTGAGTATTGCAGCTTTCACAGACACAGTGGCCTCAGCTGTCTAGTAAAAGTTGAACAGCTGTTCTGTACACAGAAAGAATTGTGAAAGCCCCATTGACTTAAATTTGTTGTTTAACAAAGAACTGGAATTATAGGCAGGATGATGTAATTTTAACCCTGTTCATTCGTGTAGTACAATTTTGATAAATTATTGGCATAATTTTCACATCAACCTGTTTTCCTACTCACAGTTATCTGATGTATTGACACAAACTCCTAATTGATTTTTCCTTTCCTTCTTGACCACTTTTCAGCCTTTTCTTTTATAAAATTAGTTGATAGTGGAAGTTGTGGGAAGACTCCAAGTGTCTTGTCATTTAGAGAAGTAAATCAATAAATATCTTTGCATTAAAAAAAATCAAAGAAGTAAATAAACTCACCTCATCCATGCTTTTAGCTATATTTAGTGGATGCTGTGCTAATTTTCCATGCCTTCAGCCAATGAATGAACATCTCCAGGCTGGCATGGCATATCTACATGACTGCTTTAGGTTTCTTTTTCTATAATAACTGAAAAATGCATGTTGAACTGTATAAAGAAGGGATTAATGTATTTCTTTGATTCAGTGGATAAAATTGAAGAAAAATGGCTTGTGTATTCTTGTTCTGCAAAGATGGCAAGTCAGACTGTATAGGTTTATTCAGTGATGCAAAATCTTTGTAAGCACTGTAGACTTTCTTGAGTGACATTCATTGGTGGAACTAACATTCAGTTGTATGGAATGGAGACTTGAGTCCATGCACATCTGATTTTCATCCTCCACCACTACCTTAGTGTCCTAAATTTTTCAACAGGTGAGCTCCCCAACCTCACAATTTGATCTCACTAATTGCTCTGCCAAATAGCACTGGAATCCACTGCAAGGGAAAGATCAACATATCTTTTAGAAAAACATCAGTCTTGATTTTAAATTTACTTGTGATAGAGATTCTACTGCAATCTTTGATAAGTTTTTCCAATTACTCTCACTTGGAAAAAACTTAAAAAACAACAAATAGTCTTGCAGCACCTTAAAGACTAATAAAACATGTAGATGGTATCATGAGCTTTCATGGGCACAACCCACTTCTTGAGATGAATTAGGAATGTTGGGTTTTATTCACAACTATGCCACTGATATTCAATGAGGAAAAATTCAGTTATTACTATTATATTTATTGTTTTACTCTAGGCAGCCATTCTCTTCTGGACCAACACAAAAAACTTCCACCATTACTAACTTGATAAAAGTGATAAAAAATAAACACATAAAGTATCCTAAAATAAAAAATAGTGTTTTCTGAATAGTGTATTAAAACACTTGATATATCTGGTGTTTGGTGGCTGAAAGAAACCCCAACCAAAAATAGTTTAAGTGAAATAGAATGACTACTGATGATGCTTTTTGCCAAACCTAAAATGGCTGCTGACACATTTAATGGAATGCTTAGCATTCACCTCTCTTATCTTTTATATAATTAAAAGGCCTTGTTTATTTGTCTAGTTACTCATAATTCATTCATTATTTAATTGCAAATTAGGGATCAGGGAGCAAGAATTCAGAAATTGAGATTGCCTTAAAACTTTGCAAATCTTTTTTAAAACAATAACTTTAGTGTTTTTTATTTGCGTTCTGACTTTTGAGCCTTTAGTGTTCACTTTCTCAAGCTTTTCTTTGCAAGAATGAGGACTTGAAATGCTCATTTCTTAAGGAGGGCTACCATAACAAAACTCCAAGAGCTGGAGCTTTAAGCAAAACTCCAAATCTTGTCATCCAACAATAAAATCATGAGCAGCAGTAACTCCTTTGTCTCACTTTCCCTGCCTGCATTGAATCTCAATCCTGAAAAATCTTACTCACATGCATTACCTTTCTCACAGCACTTCAGTGGGACCTGTATGTGTGTATAAAATTACACATGTACACACTTGCATGATTGGAGCCCTGGCATTTTGAGAATCCCTTCCTGTGGGATTAGAGTCAGGCACTTAAAGAATTAAGGGAGCAGGAGGGAAAAGCCTGTTGCAGGCCCTAACATATGTTTTGAAGGTAAGAACATGGTGAAGGCTGGACTGGGAAGGTGAAAACTACAGCACTGAGATTGTTATATATGACTCCTGGAAGTCTTCACTTCTCTGGCTTATTTGTTTTTTCCTGCAGTTGTGTGGGTGCTGCAGAACTAGTGGTGCCAGAATGCTTTTTAATGTAATAGATAGATTTAATGAATAAACTTCAGTAAGAGTTAATGTGGAGAGGCAAGCAGGAAATTAGTGCCATCTGGCAACCTGCATGGTCATGGAAACAAAATACACCAGTAATATTAAAAAAAGTGCACCATTATTACTAGAAGTGTATCTAACTGCAGGTTGCACTCGGATATTATTGTGAGAGGGTTCCAGCCAAATAGTTTTGCTCTGGGCATAATTATAGTGAATAACACTTCTGTGGTCCAAAATGAAGTGGTACATTGAACACTAGATGAATATGTGCAGGTTTAGAAGTTTCATATTCTGAGTAGATAAGTAAGCTGCTTTCTTTCTGAGGTTTTCAGTTTTACATTCTGCTTTTATTTATTTCTTTTTGACTAATATTTAGGATACAACTTTTTTTAGGAAGTGGTATACTCATTCATTGCTATAAGGTAATGCATTGCTATCCATTAAACTGCAATTAATGGATTTCCATAAAAAGTTACTGTCTACTAAAATGTTTTTTTGGCATTGGATTGGTAGGGTCCCTGAGCTGAGCATAAAGATTCTGAAAGATATTTAGACAACATTTTTGTTAGCTGTAACTGAGTATTATTCTCAGAAGTAAGAAATGACAGGTGATGCTGAGGAGAGAATAGATGAAATACCAAAAATAGCTAGGAGAGGTGAAAATTTATGTTTACGCCATGGTACTCTGATATTTATTTTGAGAGAAAATCCTAGGACAGTCCTGGCAGATCTGTGCTTACATAAAATCAGAGATTCTCTTTTCATCTTAAACTTTGAAAGGAAATGTCAAAGATGTTTTTGCTGTTGCGCAGGATGCAGTCATTTTCAACATGAAACTCTTGTTTTAAAGGGTAACTGCGGATCACTGAATAAAGGAAGTATAACCTTATTAAACTTCTTCCCAGTTTTCCAGGCACAGAGCTCTGGCTGGTATTAAAGAAACAAGCCCACAGGCTCTTCTTATAATGAGTTGTTTTGGATTGTATTTCCATAATTTATTAATGTAATTGCTGTATTATTGCATTTGTGTGGCTAAAAGGAAGCTGTCTTTAATGGACATGGTAATACATGTAGTGTCTTTATAAAAGATGCATTATGAGCTGATAAGAAAAATATATGAACTACTTCAGGCTTTGTGTTTAGATGGTTCTTTTTCAGTTATTGCTTCCATATCTAATTATTTGTTTCTAAATTTTACATGGTTGTGAGTATTCTATATGGCATATTAGAAAGCTTATATTTTAAATTTGCAATAAAATATTAGTAATTTGAATATAATTGCTTAGCTTGCTGTATAAAGACTTTTTTCTTCAGCTGAAATGAAATATATTCTAATTTACCTTAAACGCATTTGAGATAACAGACATCTCTCTCTCACACACACAAATTTTGCTTCCCAAATGTGGTATGCATAATGTATGCAGAAGAATTTCAGATGTAGTAGATAGAAAAAACTGATTTAGAATAAAACTAAGCAAAGTATCAGGATTTTATGGATAAATGACATCAAAACAATTGTTAACTTCAGTTCCACAGCCACCTGAATTTTAGTTATCAATAAGCTAGTATATATTCTTAACTGCTTTAAAGGCATCATTGTGCATCATTAATTTAAAACAAAATTCAATAACATTTTATCATGATATTGGAAGAGACAGGAGCTTCACATGTATAATACACTGCATTAGTCCACTGGCTTTTTTGGAAATCTGAATATATAACTTTTTATATAATGACCGGTTACAGTAGCTGGGGTCTTTCATCAACAACAAACATTTAAACCTACAGGTGCCAGTGTCTAAAAATTGTCAATTATAGAGAAAAATGAAGAAACTTAATATCCTTTGCCAAATCTTAAATTACCCTGACTTGGTAAAAATTACAGTACAGTTCACTATATTAAAATATGTATGGTGTATAAATGCATGTGTTAACCTGCACAGTTTTGACAGGTGCCAATCAGTGGTCTAGGACTGGAGGACAAGCTCCCTCATCTCCAAACTATGAAAACTCTCTCCACTCCTTGGTAAGAATTTGTTTGAAGCTACATATTACTTTTTAGCCAACTGTTGAAAATTCATTTTTGTATAAATCCTGCATATCGTTAATAAAAACAGTAGGATATCATTAAAAATGAATTCTTTGCTAACAAATAGTCTGGTTCAGTTGAACAATATAAGATATGCAGGGTGTGTCTTTCACCATCTGTTCCATGGGCATCAAACTTCTATGCTAAGGACAGCTGGTGCTAAAATACTGTTTTGAGATTCCAATACCTTTTCATAAACCCATAGCTAATTCTCATCCAAAGCTCACTTTGTAGAGTATAGATGAAGTACAATATTTCCTATCTTTACATTTGTGTACTTTTCTTTTCTTTCTTACATGGTAATTCTGTGGGCTTTTGTCACTACCCTATCACTAAAATATTAAATTCAACATTTTAACAAATACTTATTATGTACTTACTGTTATTGAACTGAAAAGGTCAGTCTTTCTATATAGAAGAAAACAAGAAAAAAATAGTATGGGATGGAGAGGAGGTTGTATATAATGGGTTGAGAAATCTCTAGAGGCTTTTAGTTGCAGTCTTCCCTTGCTGTAATATGTCAGGAAGGGAAAATAGAACTCTTAGAATATCAAGCAAGGCTTTATTTGTTAATAATTCTAGTTTCCAAAAATAAATTCCTTTTTTCTGTGACTAACAGAAATAAATGTAAGAGAAAACAATTTTTCCTTTTCTTTACACGTTTTGCAATTAAAAGTAAACAATAATGCATCTTAGAATGCTAACATTATAACTGCAGTTTTGAGCGTTTAGTCTTTTCATAATCAGATCTCCGTTGCATTAACTTGACTAACATTTTATGCTGACGTGCACATCAGCTGTTTCCTCACCTCTTTTTTTGAATTAATCTTAACCTGTGCTTTGCTTCCTGTTCTGTCTTGACTTTGCCAGAAAAATCGAGTTGAGCAGCAACTTCACGAGCATTTGCAAGATGCAATGTCCTTCTTAAAGGATGTCTGCGAGGTACTATTTCTCTTCAGATGGTGCCTTTTTGTGTTTCGGTTAATTCTACTTACATATTCCTATTAAAATCTTAAATTAGAAAAAACATTTTTTGCCTCCAACACTTTGCCATTTTATTTTCTAGAGCACTGCAAGATCAGAATCATCTTTGCTTATTTCTTTAAAGAAACAATAAAGATAGGTATAGAAAACTATTTTGTGGTAGTGTGCAGAACTCATGTATTTATTAGGACAAATGTTCCAACGTATACTTGTACATTTAATTTTTGAAGTTTGTAACAAAATTTCTAAATCTGTGTAGAGTTAGTTTTGGAACAATCACTTAAACCTTCAGGCTACCACCTTGCCCAACCTTTATAACCATGTACCCCCAAAAAAGCCACTATCTTTCTGAATTCTGATTAGGAATTGTTACACAAAATGGTGACACTGATTTTATATTTCTTCCTATGAACTACTAGACTTTTTATTTTTGGTACTCATTCTATTTTTGTTTCCTGTTCAGGCTATGTAGTAGAAACTAAATAACATTACTTATCTTATGGTATGCTTTGTTTTAAGAAGCAACCATTTCTGTTTCTGAGATGGCATTCAATTCACATCTCTAGATACCTTATTCTTTTTCCTATTTATTTATAGTGCTGGTGGGTGCTTTTGAAGCCTTCCTTTTTGATTTTGTATTTCATTTGTTGTCTTTCATATCTCCCAAAGTAGAAACCATTACAATATACAGTAATGAACTAAGCAGATGTATATAAGTGACCTTTAGTACTCCTCTTAACTCTCAACAGCAATCTCGAATGGAGGATCGCTTGGACAGACTTGATGATGCCATCCATGTGCTACGAAACCATGCTGTGGGGCCTTCAACAAGCCTGTCAGGCGGCCATGGAGATATACATAGTTTATTGGGGCCATCCCATAACGGGCCAATTGGAAGCCTAAATTCAAATTATGGAGCATCTAGCCTCGTAACAACCAATCGACAAGCTTCAATGGTAACATTTTTTATAAACACATTAATAATTAGCTGTTTAGTCTGAAATTCCAATCTCATTAAATCACAGTAGAACCTAAAAAGTTAAAGTTTGACTGGAATTTGTACAGTGTTCACTTTCAGTGAAATTTATCAAGAATTCTTGAGATGCACTACTGATTATATAGGAAGAAATGACAGACTGCTGCACCTGCTACTGATTTCCAATTAGAGGGTTTTGGGGGGTGGAGCACCAACGGAAGGAGGAAAAAAAACTTACTTTGGCCTGGTCAGTGGCCCATAAAATCCTGCTGTGACCATATGCAGAAAGCTGAGACTTTCTGCTGAGAGTATTTGAGCTTATACATGCATTTTTTCCAGATGTGTAATAATTGGCAGAACAGTTTTCTCCTTAAAATAGTGAATAGGGAGATTGAGTGGGAAAAGCAGTCAAAAAGGACAGAATTTCAAGTGTTCTGGTCTGGAAAAGCTGTTTATTGTAAATTGGAGCTAGTCTTCAATAGAAGATGCTGGCAGAAGACTGGAAGGAAGCTGTTGGAATGTGGAACCATAGTGTTTACAGACACAAAATTTAACTTTTTTTCAAATGAAAAAAGGTTTTGAGCACAGCTGGTAGTGTAAATAACAATCAAGAGGAAACCAGTTTTAAATTAATCCCTAAGAAGAATGGAATAATTCAATCCATCTTTTTTAGTTTCTTTTAAACTTGTGACCCATTCTGAGAAAAATGATATTAAGACTATTGTAGATCCAAAATGTATGTTTTAAGCATTACATATTATAGCAAATGAAATCTGCTTCTAACTTTGCTGCCTTTGCCATTTCTCTCCCAACGAAAATCTTAAACAAAAAAAGGTTTTAAAAATGCTTATTTTGGTGTGCCATGTGTTTGCATGTTTACAGTATAATTTTAAAGATCAGTTACATGCTGGGAAATTTTCTATTATAAAACAGATTCACAGCTGGGAGTTGAGTGATCAAGGCAAAACTTCACCTATCATCAAAATAATTAGATACCCCGATTGCTGAAGGGTTTGTATTCTATAAAACAGAATTAGTTCCAGGTTTTCCTATTCACTTGTCAGATATCCATTTATATTAATTTCAGAGCCAGTGTAGTAAATCTCAGAGACTGGTTACTTTCCTATAAGCAGGTTTGTTGTTGGTTGTTTTATTTTTCAGCAGCATAGGCAACTTCGGGCATTCACTTAATTTCACAATAGACTTTAAGTAATGAAGCAGGTTATGTATAAATGCTTTGAAATTAGAATTCTCTCTTTATGTTGCCCATACATCTAAGGAATGCTATAAAAGATAATTTCATGGTATTCCTATACATAGAGACTGAATTTGAGTATTATGGTGGAGAATTGTATCCCCTTAATTGAAAAAAAGTCTCTCTGAAACCACAGTAACATGACTGTTTTAGCAAAGGAAAATGCTCTTTCTGAGGTACGGAACCTTCTGATCTTTCTCTTCTCTCTGAATTAGTTTACGCAGTTAGTATATCTCCTGTTTCTCTGTATGTATGAGTTGTGGCTCATTTATGTTGAGCCTTGGAGACATCTGCCCACCTTAAAGATGTTCAGATAATCAGCATTTTCTTTGAAATGCCACATACCATCATAAAGTATTTTAGGATACATCCATGAATATAAAAATAGTCTGCTATTGTAGAGCAGGAAAATAATTCCCTGCTATGTTATTAAGGTATCCTTTAAAAGGGTCAAGAGAGGCAACAACTACTTCACTTGGAAAAGAAAAGGGGGGGAGGGTTAAAATAGGGTTCAAACAAAAGATCTTGAGCTGCTTTTGGTCACAAGGTATAAATCTAGTGTAACCTAAAGCAAACTTTGGTCCTTTATATAGGTCAAAGACATATTGACATTCTCAGTAAACAGCACATAATCAGTCAAGTAGATGTTACCAAAGTGTATTGAGATGCTTTTTATTATAATTGTGTTCCAAACAAAGCTAGAGTAAGCTTCATAAATTTAAAAAAAAAATATGTACCAATGGAAAATTTCTGGCCAAACACTGCTGTAACCCCGCTTCTCAGGAATTCTTCTTAAATTGTTTAAATACGGCTGAGTGGTAATTGTAGACTGGAGTTGTAGTACTGTACTTCATTTTTATTTTTTATTGAAAGTTGCTATCTATCTATCTAAAACAATAATAAAAATATAGCAGCAAACTTAATTTAGGGCAGGAGAATGAGGAAGTGTGGGCTTTGCTTTGTATTCTGGGCTGTGTGAGTTTATGAACCAAAGTTCTGTCAAAGCACTGTCCTCTCTTTTCGGTTCTCTTTAAAATTGGGTAAATCGAAATGTCACTTAATCAAATCTGTTTTTGTTATACCATCTTGGTTACACCTATTGATTACATCAAATACCAGAATATGTCCCATTTATAGCTGATTCATCCACCTGTATGTAGTATGCCCTCTGACATGACTTGAAATTGAACAATCAGCAGATCACAGAGTAAAACCTTTGCATATGTGCATGGCAGAGGTTGGCATCTAGGCTTAGTGGTACACGACTGGCTGTTTTTTAACCTTCAAATTAAAAAAATAAAATTTAAAAATTTAACCAGTAGTGACCAAAATGTACATGGTGCATGGATCCATAGGAGGACCATAGATGCAAACTTCCAGTCTGTTCACTTGGAAAGCTTTATTTTACTGTTTGTTTGTTTGTTTGTTTGTTTGTTTGTTTGTTTTTTATGGTAACTGTACACAAGTAAATGGGAAGAAGAATTCTAATGAGAGAAAGAGTTTTAATGTGATGTGCGTACTGAGATTTAAGATATGGGCCTTTGTTTTTGTTTAGAAATTAAATATCTCTTTATTATGTTTTTGGAGAAAACTTGCACAAAGCTAAAGGAAATATGGAGCTTATATCAGCCAACAAAATGCATATGTAATTGGAGGAAATCAACACTGATAAGTTTTTTTTATGGTTTGGAATGTATTTCTCTGCCAAAGAATTATGTTCATCTGGATTTAGCAGTAAATGAAATCTCATTTTCTGTAAAATCTGAACACAAGACATTTTAGCTCTTTAATAATAATAAATTCTGTTTATCTTAAAGAAGATGATCTTGACAGAAGAAGCTAGGAAATGAGTAATTTAACTCCTTTTTATGTAATTAGTGTACCGAGGCATGGTTTTATTTTAACATTTGGTTAATTTTTGAGACAGGTTTATTTTAAAACTTCAGTTGGCTTATTTTCCTGCTTTCTCACTGTTCTTGGTTTCTGTTTTGCAGGGCTGTCCATTACATTTACTGTGATCTTTATTCAAGAAAATGTGTTAATAACAATAAGTAATCAAATATTATAATTGCTGTATGGCCTCTACAGTGGACTATTTTTTAAATTTGTGTAATATTTCCTTATAACAAGGAACAAATACTCCTTCGACTCTTATTCAAACCTGTTAGGGTTTTTTTTTCTGTTTAGTGATCTGTAATTATAATAGAAAAGGCACAATGTGAACTGATAAAAAGCCAGGAAACTGAGTTAAGGATGAAAACTAATCCTTAGCTCACTCTGTTGTTCCCAGGTACAACGGGAATCTCCAAAGAGTTGGGTAATCTTTGCTGAGTGTACCATGTCTGCTGCAATACCTCTTCACCAAAGGTAGTTTAAGGCCCTAGTCTGGCAAGTTGCTCTGTCCAGGCTAACCCCTATCCTGCACAGGTCTCCATTGATGTTAGTACAGCACTGTAGAGACTATATCCAAATAGAATAACTCGTTAAATGGGGCCTAAGTGTGGAATTTTGACTTTTGAGCCCCCATCAGGTGTGTTTGTTGTTTAACAACTGCACTCAGCATGATTTAAAACTTTGGTTGTTGCCAAATTTAGCAGATCATATATTTCAAAAACCATTTAGCCCAGATTTTTCTCAAGTCTGGAGCCTTCTTTAACCATAATAGAGTTTAACAGTGCATATGTACAATTGTCCAACTCAACTCTTTGACCTATTTATGTAGGTGAGGACTCATTCTCAGTTTCCCAGCTTTTGTGTATTATACCTCCTAATGGTCTGAATTTCGTATTTACAGTGAAGCACGTGAAACA